CTCCTCCAACTCCGGCACGACGAGCCTAGCTGCCAGCTCCTAGGCCCGTGCTCCCCCGCGTGAATCAGGCCTTGTCGCCTTCGAAGACACCCAGCACCAACATTCGACAACACGAGCGCCCGCTCTGCCCATCACTCTTTACTTGCCTCCCTTCGTCCGTCGGTCGACCACCAGCCACTGAGTACAGCGCAACGCCACTTAAACGTCGACTACGTTCAACTTCTGAACTTGACTTGATAATCTTTGCTGCTAAAAAGGCACCCCAAGAGAAGACCGCCAGTCAAAATGGTCTGCCCACCAGCATCCACCCCTGTCCCGGCCGTGTCCGAGAGCAGTCCGTTCTCGGCACTCCACTAACTCTGACCCCAGGCCCGTCTTCCGGAATCACTCTCGAACGCAACTCGACCCGACGCTTATCAGGCTACCTCTTTTCTACTCAATTCAAATTGCTCTTTTCCCGCCACCAACACCACCTGCACCACACTCCTATCACTTGAGCATTAGCGGCACGCGTTTCATTTTTCACCCAAACACCCATAGTATATATATATTCAAAAATAATCAAGCATATTATATGGAATAATTCACTCAAAACCTCACCACTTTAATCACATCTTATCAACTCCATTCTCAATGATTTGTTAAAGTTGTTATTACTTTAAAATATTTATATAATAAGTAAGTATTTATACCTTCAATATGACCACTCTTGGGGTTGTTGACCAAACAGCTGTGTGTGTGGATTGCTTTGATCCACTTCCAGCTGCTCGTTAATGGCACCCCCCAAATTGTAATCGTCAATGGACATCAATTAACTGTCGTTTCTCCCTTGCAGAATATTTATGATGATGGGCGATACAGTTTTCGTATGCAATGCCGGTCAAAGTCAGTTCACACCTGCGGCCCTGTTGCCCTGCCACCAGGATGGCAACTATCTCGGCGCCCTGGTGTTGAGCAAACTTGAAGTAAGTACTTTTGTACAGTAATCTTGTGGCAACAGCACGACTCACACATAAACTATTTTTACCAGTCAACAATCGGGCGAGATAGCTCTTGCGATCATTCAATCGTTTCGATGGAAATATCGCGCAAACACGCCTTGATCAAGTACGAAAATGACGCCTGGTGGATTTACGATTTGAGAGTATGTGTCATTCTAACTTCTCTCTCATTCTTTCGCAAAGGCATCTTTCTTACCCACTACCTTTCTTTCTTTCTTTCTCAGTCCACAAACGGCATATTTGTGCAGGACATTAAGTTGAAGCCCAATGGGAAGGCGCGTCTTGACGATGGAGCTTCAGTGTGCCTTGGTCCACCTGACCAAGGTCACTTCAAATTTCTTTTCCGCGAAAAGTTCTACCCATCAGACGACTCTCAGGCTTGTTACCTTGAGAAGTCATCGCCGATACCGTTTGTCCTCCCATCTGGATATGATTCGGTCGCTACGCAGGACTTTAGCTCTTGCCGATCTACACCGGTAGAGCAACTGCACCAGCTTGAGATGTATCGTTCGGAGATTGCCCGTCTGAAAATGATGGTCTCAAAGATGGAGTATCAGATGAAGCGGCAGAAAGAGAACAGCAAGCACTTGTATAAAAATCTTCAAGTAACGCGACAGCTACTGAAGGAGAAGGAGTCCCGGTGCAGCAAGTACCGAACGCTCATCAGTCAACTGGAGTCGAGTGTAGCGCAAAGCCGGTGCCCCTCTTCAGATGACGAGTCCAGCAACGAACGTGCCTGCACCGAAAGTAGCCCCTTTGGAGGCCACGCGGCGGTATCATCGGCACTGCGGGAGATCACCTGCTCTATCTGCTCGGAGTATCTGATCGCACCGACTGCACTCAGCTGCTCGCACGTCTTCTGTCTGCACTGCATCGAAACTTGGAAGGAAGAGTATCGCCTAAAGCCCAACAACACCCTTAGCCGCGGAGTGTGTCCAGTCTGCCGGAAGGAGGTAGAGCACCAGACGCAGCCACTGGCTTTTGAAAACCTGGTGAACATTCTTCTCGAGAACCTTCTCTCTTACGAGGAGTTGAAGGAGCGCCGCATGCTCGTGGAGGACCGAAAGAGGAACTCACATGTTTCAAACAGCTCTCTCCAGCTCACTCAGATTATCAGTCAAATTCTGAGCGGCGTGACTCGAAACCGTCGATCTTCAATTTCTATTGCCAGCGAAAGTGGCCAAGTTCAGACAGCAAATGATGAGGAAGAAGACGATGATGACGACGATGATGATGACGACGACGATGACGACGACGACGATGATGATGATGGTGAGGGCGGCAGTGGCAACTCACTGAACCTCCAGATTGACTACAACCAAGAAGTTGAACTCAACTTGCAGCTGTCTGACATTCCCTCGGATGATGACGAAATTGACATCTCCATTACGGTCAGTAGTGCTACCAACTTGCAAGAAGTACTCAATGCACAGAATTCGAACGGCGAGATTTTGATGATTCGAAACGATGATGATGACGACGAGATGAGTATCGATTCGAACCCAGTCATGTATCTGCTGGAAGACTCGGAGGACAGTTCATCCGAAGCGACATCCTCCTCTGACTCTGATGACTCCCGTGAGGCAGGTAGTAGGCGCCGTCGTCGTCGATCGAGTATGATTATTCTTTCTGACAATGACAATGTCTCTCTGCCAGTGGCTACAATCGATCTAATGTCATCGACTACTGTAGCTTCAGGATCAGGAGTGTCAGGAGGAGGAGGAGGAGGAGGAGGTGGAAACGGCAGTGGTAGCCGTGTCAGTCAGAGTAATCATGGCAATCGAACAATGCAATCTGCTCGAAGAGCTCACCCCTACCAGCGTGGCGATCGTTCAGCCAATGGCAATGGCTCGAACAGCATCAGCCGACACCAAGTTTGTGTCTAATCTCAGAATCTTCCTTCCTTCTTTCTTCCTCTCTTGCTTTCCCTTTTCACTACTGAACTGTACATAATCTTTGTGTACAGTGCTCATCTGTGTACATAGCCGCGCATCTTTCGCATCTCTTTACACTCTCTCTCTCTCTTCTTCCCCCTCTTCTCATGCTCTTTAATGGCAGCAACAACTGTCCGAAGAGTACCAAACGACTCCTGAGAAATGGCAAAAGAAAACAAATGCCCCCTGCTCTCCTGCTGTCCATTTGCCTCCCCTCTAATGCTCAGCAGGGACAGGGGACATCAACAATGGTCATCACTTGTTGTTTTGTGTTTTGCCTTACAGGATCGTCTCGCGCCGTCATCTTTGGCTTGCGCTTACCCCCTCATGGTTTTGATTATCAAAACGTTTTCTCTTTTTTGCAAATTTTATTTTTCTTCAAACATTCAGAATAACTTTATCTTCATCTTACGCGTGCCGCCCACACTTACATACCTTCAGAACCTCTCAATTGATCACCTCNCTCATGGTTTTGATTATCAAAACGTTTTCTCTTTTTTGCAAATTTTATTTCTCTTCAAACATTCAGAATAACTTTATCTTCATCTTACGCGTGCCGCCCACACTTACATACCTTCAGAACCTCTCAATTGATCAACTGCACTTTCATCTGAGATGTTTTTTTGTACATTAAACTTGCGACAACCGCTATTTTTCTGTTAGTTTTCTTTGCATCACTTCCATCCTATCTTCTGCCATCATAACTTCAGTGATGAATCTTCATCTTGCCTCAGTAGTTGACTGTTTGCTTCTACTACAGTCAAACTTGCTGATACTTTGCTAGAAAAGAACGGCGATAAACTAGAGGGCAATGCCTGCCTGAGGTAGTTAGTTTCATCTGTGCCCATTTGTTTTCTGCAATAGTTGCGCAATAAAGAACGGAATTTCTTCCTCACTGACACGACACACCCACATACACACCTTTTCGCGCCCACACGCACACATTCTTTTCATCTTTTTCTACGAACTGTGTCACATCACTGCGATCCTCAGCAGCATATAGTTCACCTTCCCAACCTGCATCTTTCAGGTGAGTTGTTTCGCCTTGAGAGCCTATGACCAGTGTCCACAGGTTTCACAGGTTCCCACGGAGCAGTGTGGAGACTTAAAGCAAACAACTTGTGATGGTAAGACGGCGGTCGACTATCTCGACAGAAAGTCCTGCTGAATGGCTCTCTCGGACCTTCCAGTCAAAGCTTCCTCTGCTTACTCGGGAAAAGGAGAACGGGAAGGACACGGTTTCTCAGTAAGTGGTTTCCTTTTGTTGTCAGCATTCTTGGCGCTACTCTTGCACAGACAAAAACAGCAACTGCTCTAGCTCTGTTACGCTAACTCAGTCAGGCTGCATTGCAAGCAATAAACATGCCCTGCAGGTTAACTAATGAGTTCTCTAGATTTCAAATCACCGGCAGATTTGCTTGCAGTTGAGAAGAGACAAATGGCCATGTTGTTCTTGTATCAAATTGATTCTCAAACTGGCCAGATCTCTTGTCAGGTGTATGGGAAGTAGATTCATTCTTGGACTTGAAACACACTGTACAAGTCAGACCATCTTGCCATAGACTTTCTGGGAGTATGGACCAGCTTTGTTTTGGAACAGCAACACCTGGCCCATTATCCGGTACTCAGCTGCTTGTCAAGTTTGACAACGATTTTGAAATGCAGTTTTCTGAACAATAAATAAGTCTGAAAATCAGGAGTTTTATGAGTTGCAGCAAAGCAATGTGGTCGGCAATCACTGCTAGTAGCTGGTTTTCTGTTTTAACCAGTACCAAACTGGACTTTCATTCAATAAAGTGATGTTTTTGTGATTTTATATTTTACTTGACTAGTGTCATTGGATTATTATCAAGCGCGTATTTGATGCATTGGAGAGTTGGTTACAGAGTTGGAAAACAATTTCAAAGAGGTGTGACATTGAAATATTGGAAACGATGAACAATATATAATTAAGCAGACACTATAAATTAGTAATAGTTGCAGATTCTAGTAAATTAGCTGGCGTAATTTTGCGGCTATAGATAGATACACTGGTGGGAAAGAGGCGACTGAGCCTTGAGGATGGTTACTTTGTCTTCTTTGATTCTTCAACTGGTGCGGCGGCAGCTGCGCTCGAGTCAGATGTGCTCTCTTCGCCGTTTTGCAGTGCCTGTCTTTGCTCGGCGTCAGCCACCGGAGCAGTGCCTTCCTTCTTGGCGCGTTCAGCCTCGGCAATATCATCCCCACTGATGCCAAACTCGTTGACGCGGGAATGATCGACGCGGTAGATCCATCGCTGATACAGGAAGATGAGGAAAATGATATCATCTCGGAAGCATCCGATTCGATACATGGTGGGCATTTTGATGACAAACGCAAAGATGTCATCGATGAAAGTGTTGAGAAACTTGTAGGTCAGCATTCGCCAAGGTAGGTGCGCCACTGACTTTAGTTTGTAGTTGATGAAGAGTTGTGGTGTCATCATAATAAAACCTGATTAAATAAATAGATAATGATCAGTCATTTAAAAAACTTTGCATCAGACAAGCTTTACCAAATGTAAGCAGGAAACCGTAGATCATGTTGAGGAAAAACGAGTACCAACTTTTGTGTTCATTGTACATTAGTGAGTAGACGCCATAGCCAAGAAACAGTGGGAATAGGAGCCAAGAAAGGTACTTGAATGCAAGCTATACCAAAAGTCAAAATTGTTAGCAACAATTACCAGTAACCAATAGGACAAAGCGAATCATACCTGGTCATATTGCCGAGTGGAGGACTCTACGTACGACCCTTTGTCGCTGAACCGAATCATGGGCAAAATGCCAAAGAGCTTTTGATCGCGCACCAGTTCAATGTTGATCACCTTTTTAATCTTCCACAGTTCAATCAGCAAGCCAATAAAGACACTGATACGAATCATTATGTTGGTGTCATTGTCCCTGTTAACAAAATGTTCAACTGTTACCATCATATTGAAATTGTTGAAAAATTACACTTACCAAACATATAAAAGAACGATAAAAGACTGGAAAACGTTGAAAAAGACCGACCGAACAGAAAGACCTTCAAGCGAGCGGCGCTCTTTCCAGAATTGAATATCATTCTTAAAAGCCAAAAATTCAAAAATAGAATGCGTGATCGACACAATCACAGTAAGACCAAGAAGAATGGGATTGGTCTCCAGGAACGTTTCCTTGATGACGTCCTGCTCATCATCATCTACTTCCTGGTTTAGTAAGTCACTGCCCATAAATGATGACCACTTATTGCGCATCGCTTGAGCGGTGTACAGCTGCCATTTGAACATTGACAGTGGCTGGTAGGTAAATCGAAGTGTGATTTCCCTGAAAGTAGATAATGTTAGCAACAAGCAAAAAGTGTTGCGATTAAAATGTCTTACTTGACGGTGTCGTTAATCGGCATATAATCCCGCATCAAGTTCCAGTAGTCGTTTAGGTACACAATCGGATAATATTGGCCAGTGGTCGGCTCAAACTCGATAAAGTCCTGCAGTGGAGATGGCACCTGACCCTTTGACCAAGCCGTGTGGTCATCGACAATGTTGATGGTCAAATTTGGATGCCAATGCGAGAGAACTTCCTGTTTGATGTTTTGCTGAATCTTCTCCTTCTCCACTTCAGTGGCTGTCGTCTCTCCGGTAAGTAGGTTATGTGTCTTTTTGTAGCTTCGTTTTTTGTACTTATTTAACTGCTTTACTCGATGAATCGTATAGATTGGGTTGTGTTCTTTTGAAGCAGGATCAGGACTGTCCCGTGTCCGTACGACGTACACGTGAAGCCACAGGGAGCCATTGTTTTGAACACGCTATTTTAAAAAACATGAATGGTGATAAAGCTCTAAAGATTCAGAAATAAGCTTACCTCGGATAGTTGAAATGTTGTTTCAGTGGTGAAAATGCCGTCTCCATCAGGTCCACTTTTCCAATCTCCGTAAACCAAATCATCTTTAAACCAAACCAACTGCTTAGGATCGTTAAAGTTGGGCAAAAGTTTGTCTTCGCAAATGTACAGATAGAGATCGAAAGTGGTGCCGTTTGGGAAAAGATTAGAAGAGGGTGCGTGTACAATACCGGGAGCTGCTTTTCCATCTCCGGTAACGGGTGCTTGAGGCCGCCGAAAGAAACTTGTGATCATGTAGATAAAAACAGCTCTCATGAGTAAGCCTTTCACGACCCCGAAATAGCTCTGTCCTTGAGGAGCTTGTGCGTTTGCCTACGTGTAAACAAAAATTAGCCGATTAAAAACAATGACAATTCCCATCATTTAATCGGGGCACTTACATTTTGAGCATCAGCAGCCGGTGCCGCTTGTGCAACAGCATCGGCCATGGTTGCCGAGGAAAAGGCAAGGAATGGACAGACTAGTTGTGTAATCAATGAACAAGAGCTTCAGAGTATCACAAAAGTGCAATTTACAAATGAATTTCCTAAGAGGAAAGTGGGAAATGCACTACAAAAATGAAAAGCTCATGTTGAGGAAAATGTTGCGAGAAATGGAGAGAAAACAACAGAAAATGAGCAGGTTCAGCTGTGAGCCTTCACAAGACTCCGATGGTGTTGTGCAATGGCCGAAGATTGGCGATTGGAGATCGAGTTCCAGCAGTCCTCATTCGAGTGGGTCCAGTTTAAAGCGAGCCAACCCACAAACCAAACATCACTGCTGCAACTCACTGGTTGCAGTTTGCACTACAATCATATGCTTTAGAAGTGCGTTCAAAAAAAAGAAATCCTAGGTTGTTTTGCACCACATCGGAGTGATTCACAACTGCATTCCACTTGCAGCAGATGCGCCCTGACTCTGGTCGCCTAATGCCCCCCAATGCCCCTCTAAGATGCGGCAGTGACAGTGCACTTACTCGTAGACAACGTGTCCTTTCAAATGTAGCCAATTTCAAAAATCGTTTTGCTGCAAAGTAATGTTTGCAGAGAGTTGCAGCATCTCATGAGACTCCTGAGTCATGAAAACTTTTTTCCTTGACTTCATTTACATTACTGCACTAATCTTTTGCCTCGTTTCTCAGAGCGAATCCTGGTTCTGGAGCTCTAACAAACGAATTAAACCTCTAAAGTCCGGAGAGTGCCAGTGCTACGTGCCCCGCCATGGGATTTACAATGGAATTGAATTGAACAAATACAGACGTGAGAATAACTGCAATCTGAATTTGTATTACTGCGANCTGGTTCTGGAGCTCTAACAAACGAATTAAACCTCTAAAGTCCGGAGAGTGCCAGTGCTACGTGCCCCGCCATGGGATTTACAATGGAATTGAATTGAACAAATACAGACGTGAAAATAACTGCAATCTGAATTTGTATTACTGCGCCCAAGACAACTACTGCGGAGAGCCGAAGCTACTACTGGATTGCTCGAAACACTTTGGCTGTTACTACAACTCGCAGATAATTGACTGCAGGTGCTCGGACAGCTTTAGGATGGTCTACAAGTGCGGGAAAAAGCTCGATGGCCAGCAGTGCTTTTCAGACCTATTGTACTACTGCCATGAAAACGGTGAAGCTGAATACGTTGGCGTTTGTGAAAAGGAAAGCTTTTTTAAAGCCCCTAAACAAAGTTAAACATTGGAAACTGGCTCTTACATTCTTGCTCAAACAGACCCAGTTTATTTTTTGGAACTATAAAATATAGATAAGCGTTTTATCATTTCATCACATGATTGTTAGATAATTAAATAGTGACAGTAGGACGTATCAGAGTAAGTCTTGTCCGATAACTTGGAAAATACAGCCTTGACAAAACATGATGATGAGGGTGAAAGGCGCGCTGATGGTGTGGAATTTGTTTCATAAATAATTATAAAAGCATGCTGAATAGATGATTGCGGTGTTTGGATGAAATACTCCAGTTAGTCTAGTGGATGACTGTGAACAATGCCATTGTTGGTGAGCACGTCCTTGGCAATTGTGCGATATCCTTCATCGTTGCGAAGAGCGTCACTAGACCGCAATGAGCGAAGGTTTCTATCAATTCGAAGATTTGCCTGCATAATAAAAAATCAGTCATTTGAGTTAAAAGGAAAACACAATTGAATTCGTTTACCTCTGAGCAGATCACTCGGGCCATATTCTTTTCAATGTCAGCACTGCTGATGTTCTTGTTGAGCGCCCGGGTGACGCGAGACAACACCACGAGCATAGTGTAAATATCAATTGTAGCATTGGCCAGTCGATTCAGGAGAATCTGCTCGTGAATAATGTCGCGCGTGTACTTAATAAGAAGGTGCTCAACTGCTGAGCTGAAAGCTATAATGTTCTTGGACAGCTGCTGAGCTTCCTGCTGAAATTCAGAGTGCACAAACTCGGAGAGATCAGGAGCATCGAGGCCGACCGAGCGACGGATTCTACGAGTACCTTCATTAAAGATCATGCCCAAGTTTGCCACAGGCTGCTTCAGAGCCCTTTGAATTTCCTTCAAGTGTCCACCAGCCGATTGCATTCCTTCAATAAATGGATGTTATTACACCTCTTACACATCTCCATTCAAAGAAACTTACCAGTGAGTGCGACAAACAAACGGAGAATCTCATTTGTGCCTTCAAAGATTCTGAATATTCTCACATCACGAACCATCTTCTCGACGCCAGTTTCTCGCATGTATCTAAGGAACAGGAAATCTGAGTTTCAGGTAGTTTTCGCACTGTCAAAAACACATACCCCATGCCTCCCAAAATTTGCAAGCATTCGTCAACGACATAGGACGCTGCTTCAGAAGCGTAAACCTTTGAGATGGCTGCTTCGAGTTGATAGTCTTNCTCACATCACGAACCATCTTCTCGACGCCAGTTTCTCGCATGTATCTAAGGAACAGGAAATCTGAGTTTCAGGTAGTTTTCGCACTGTCAAAAACACATACCCCATGCCTCCCAAAATTTGCAAGCATTCGTCAACGACATAGGACGCTGCTTCAGAAGCGTAAACCTTTGAGATGGCTGCTTCGAGTTGATAGTCTTTCATGCCACTGTCCATTAGTCCACTGAAAGTGAAGATTGTCAAGTTAGCAAACGTGATGTTGAATACACGAGAAAGTAAAGGAGCTGGTACCTGAGCATATATGCCATGGATTGGGTGGTGTAGTGAAGCATTGACATTCGGGCGATCTTCTCTTGAATGCCAGTGTATGAAGCCAGCTTATTGCCAAACTGCGTCCGATTGTTGGCGTGAGCAGAGGCAATCTCAATGGCGCGTTTCATCGTTCCAGAGAGAGCACAGCACATGCCATAGCGGCCATTGTTGAGAATGTTCATGGCCACCTTGAAGCCATCGCCAACACTGCCGATCACATCCTCAACGGGAACCTTCACATTGTCAAAGTACACCTCAGTGGTGTTGGAGGCGTTGATGCCCATCTTGGCCATTTTCGGACCACTGGTAACACCGGTTGTTCTGCTCACCAAGAAGGCGGTCACCTTGTCCTTCATTTCACCGCTTGAGCTCTTTACGGCAGTCTGCGCAAAGACGGTGAAGTAGTCGGCAATGCCGCCGTTGCTGATGTACGTCTTGCCGCCATTGAGGATCCAGTGTTTGCCATCCTCTGACAGGACCGCGCGTGACTTGATGCCGCCGGCGTCTGAGCCAGCAGAGGGCTCGGTTAGGCAGAAGCAAGCCAGCTTTTCACCAGTGGCCAGCTGCGGAAGGTATTTGTCCTTCTGCTCCTTTGAGCCGTACAGCAGCAAGCCCTTGTAGCCAATGGATTGATGCGCCCCAAGGAACACACTAATTCCCAGGTCATTTCCACACGTCAGTTCAGCCAGTCGTGCATACTGCGTATTGTTGCAATCCATTCCTCCGTGTTCTTGCGATACCTAGACAGATGCAGATTTTTATAGAAATGTGCTTTTAAAGAACACCATCAATGTCTTACCTGGATACCAAAGATTCCAATATCTTTGAGCAATTGAAGATGCTTATCCTCCAGTTTGTTATTATCTTCCACTTTGAGGGGATCGTATTCATTGGCATACAGCTTCAACACCGGCTCAGTGACCATTTCAATGAACTGCAACTCATCCTCACTGAGCACTTTTGGGTAGGGGAAAAAGTTGGTAACCTTTGCTTCCCCTGAGAAGATGTTCTGAATGAACGATGATGATTCATGCTTAGCACTTTCAATCCGCTCAACCGTGTCAACTTTAGCTTGTGAAACAGGGCTATACAAAACAAATACAACTTTTAGACAAAGGCTGCACAAAACGCATCTCAAATTACATACCGAGTCGCCTGTTTAATGAGTCGAAAACTATGGAGATTTCCACGAAGCTTGACCAGTGACCGAAGTGGGGAATACATCTTCAGATGAGCTTCAGCAGACGACGAGGCGAGCAAGTGAATGAAAGAAAGTTGGCGAGTTTAAATGTAGATTAACGATCGAGCGCACGCGATTGGTTGAGCCCTGGTGACGATAGCTGAGTAGTATCCACTGCGAGAAGGAGAGAAGCTTAATTAAAGTGACGCCAGTGTACGATACGAGGCGGCCAGACCGAGTTGAGTACACGAGTTCTCGACGGTGAAATGGCAACCTAATTTATTATTTGTGAAAGAAGACTACCACCGATACTGCAAACATCGAGGGATGACGATAACTATCGGGTGCATCGGGTAAAGCACTGACTGCGACTAACTACAGCAGAAAGAAGCGTACAGCTGATGGCATTTCCAGCGCACGAGATTGTACTCTTCCGATGGGGTACAAGTTGGGGATGAGCAAAGGTCATGTGGCAGAGATTGGGTGCGAGCTGTCACTGTACTGAAGGGATTCCAAAGCGAAGGTGGAGCTTATCCTGTATGTGTGTTGTGTGTGTTGAGCACTTGCGCATGTTTCGCCGGCTTGTTGTTTTGCCACTTTTCAGCTTTCTTTTCTCGTCCGGTTTTCTGGTCCTCGAAGATCTGATCTCCTCCAGCAAATATGACTGACCGCTACAACATTCATTCCCAACTGGAGCACCTGCAGTCCAAGTACATTGGCACCGGTCACGCAGACACGACCAAGTTCGAGTGGCTGGTCAATCAACACCGCGACACTTATGCCACATACTTCGGCCACCCCGATCTGATGGCGTACTTTGCCATTGCCGAGAATGAATCAATCGGGCGTATGCGCTTCAACCTGATGGAAAAGATGCTCCAACCGTGTGGTGTGACTCCGGACAAGCCTGAAGAATAGCTGGTAACATCTCTCGCCGTCTTCATTGTTTTTGCAAACAAACAAAATTACGATTGTACGTACATTCATAAGGACACTTTTATTTCCAATCATTCATTAAATTAGCCCAACTGCCCATTAATTAAAAAACTCGACTTTTAATTTATATATTTACAGATTATCGCATAAATAAAAACAAAGTAAAAACAGTTTAAAGAAGAGGGTGGTCGTGCACTAAACCGCCGTTGTCAATTACTGCTCGGGCAATTTTTCGTTTGCCTTCATCGTTTCGAAGTGGCTCACCAGAACGGAGTGATCCCAAATTGCGTGCAATTCTAATGTTGGCCTAAAAGTTGCGTC